GGGGGGGGGGGGTGTTCCCATGGCCCAGGGACACTCACTGTAGCACGCAGTCTGGGATCTGCACGTGCTCCATGGGGATGAGCTGCTCCAGATCTTCCAAGCTGTGCACATACTGGATCTTGTTGATGAATTTGACGCTGGTGGGAGAAGCAGGGAGACATCTGAAAGCCAGCCCTCAGGGTGGCCCCCCAGGGCCAGAAGGGGCGATGGCAGACAGGGTTGCACACGCAGCAGTATTCCGGGATGCCCCAAGCACCTTCGCCCAAGCTTCCCTCCCCACCTGTGCCAGCCTCCACCCCTGGCCCCTAGTGGGGGAACAGAGCAGAACCCGGGGTCTCCCCTTGCAAGAAGAGAAGCGTCCTGAACCACGTGTTGGACACCAGTCCTTGCTGAGCTGAGGAAATTCTTTGAAGGAAGCAGAGAGGAAAGAGATGCTGCTAGACTCCAGGCTCCATCCTCCCCAGGAGCTGCTCCTCTGTGTGAATCTTCCCAAGAATGCTTTTCTGGTACAATCGCCACTGCCTGGATGGCACCAGTAGTCATTTGGTCACGAGACAGATGCACATGGGGACTGCTGATTCATTCCACATTCTTTCGGGATGAATGGCTTGTTCCGGTCCAAACCCCAGCTCTGGCTGTCTGCTACCCACTGAGGTGCTTTGTCACCAGCGCATTGCTTTGAACTCGTGATTATTTTTTTTTAAAATTACCTTAAACCTAATTTTGGTAAAGTGTCCAATAAACTTTTTTTCAAGGTCAAATCAGTTTTTTTTTTTCCTTTAAAAAAATTATTTATTTAGTTGCGCCGGGTGTTAGTTGCGGCAGGTGGGCCCCTTAGTTGCAGCACACAAGCTCCTTAGTTGTGGCATGCAAACTCTTAGTTGTGGCATGCATGTGGGATCTAGTTCCCTGACCAGGGATGGAACCCGGGCCCCCTATGCTGGGAGTGCGTAGTCTTATCCACTGCACCACCAGGGAAGTCCCTCACATCAACTTTTCTAACGATGAGAAATATAAGGCCAAGAGAATGTAACAGGACACTAAGTCATAAAATAATCAAATAATAATAAAGAAAAGAAAAAAAGTAAGATAGAGTCACATAGTTACAAAACTGTGTCAAGAAGTTTTACATCTATTTTTAGAGATTAGATAAGAATTCGCCTCAAACTTTCCAGCACCCGGCTAAAACGGAGACCCATGAGGAATGTTACAGTTCGCAGTGTCCATAAGAGAAAAATACACAGGTTAATCAGTAGAGGCCACTGGTAACTGATCAGGGAATGATAGATGGTTTTCCCACAGAGAGTCACAAAGCGGCCATGTGTACCGGAATAAATAAACCCCACCGCTTTTGTGCAGTTGAAATTTCTTTTCTTTCTTCCTTTCTTTCTTTTTCTTCCTTCCTTCCTTCCTTCCTTTCTCTCTCTCTCTCTCTCTCTCTCTCTCTCTCTCTCTCTCTCTCTCCCTCCCTCCCTCCCTCCGTCCCTCCCTTCCTCCCTCCCTCCCTTCCTTCCCGGAGCTACAAAGCTTGCAGGATCTTGTTTCTCCCACCAGGGATTGAAGCCGTGCCCTCAACAGTGAAAGAGCAGAGTCCTAATCATTGGACCACCAGGGAAATCCCTGAAATTTATTTTCTTTTTTTTTTTTTAAAGAATCATCTCTTTTTTAAAAAATTTATTTATTTTTGGCTGCGTTGGGTCTTCGTTGCTGCACGCGGGCTTTCTCTAGTTGCGGCGAGTGGGGGCTACTCTTCGTTGTAGTGCGCGGGCTTCTCATTGCGGAGCACGGGCTCTAGGAGTGTGGGCTTCAGTAGTTGTGGCACACGTGCTCAGTAGTTGTGGCTCACGGGCTCTAGAGCGCAGGCTCAGTAGTTGTGGCGCACGGGCTTAGTTGCTCTGTGGCATGTGGGATCCTCCCGGACCAGGGCTCGAACCTGTGTCCCCCACACTGGCAGGTGGATTCTTAACCACTGCTCCACCAGGGAAGTCCCGAAATTTATTTTCTTAATTAAAAAAAAAATTATTCTTGGAACATGAGTTCTTCCTCCAGTTGGTGTGACAGAAAAGTAAAGGGCCCAGGGACAGGGAGTGAGTCTCAGACCGACTCTACCTGAATACCCCGGGTCTGGGAGGCTCTGAGGGTGGATGATCTGATTGGTTGCAAAGGTTTTTTTAGGGGGCACAGAGGCAACACCTGTGGTCTGAGCAGTGGGCTATAAATACAGGCGAGATCACATCGTGAGGACGCCATGGTAAAGCTGCAATGTCTGTTGTTGGAAATGGGTACCCGGTTTCCACGTGACGATGCTGTCTGCCTGTGAGCTGAGCTCTGTCTTGGGAAGCAGGGCTCTGGGGAGGGAGAATTCCGGTCCAGGGCGAGGCACATGCCCATGTTTAGATCATCGGGGAATAAACAGGACTTCTTTTTGAGATACAATCGCAGAACCTCACGGCTAGGGCCAGGTGGCAGCTCAGAATCTGTCTCCACTTCCCTCGGCTTTTAAACAGGGAAGCTTACTTTATCCCACTTTCCCCTCCTATTTCTCTGAAAGCTCAAAATGAGACCTTTGAAATTCACCACAGGAAAAGCAACCCAGGGAATTCCCAGGCCGTCCTGTGGTTAGGACTCCACGCTTTCACTGCTGAGGGCACGGGTTTGATTCCCGCTTGGGGAACTAAGATCCCACAAGCTGTGCAGCATGGCCAAAAAAATAATAAAATAAAATAAAAGTAGGAAAAGCAACCCAAAGTGAGAGAATTATCTGCATTCAAGGCAAATTTCGGTTCCCGAATTACGGGATGTCGAGGACAGAAGGCAATTCTGTTAGGCTGAAGTGTGTGTCTACCGTTTTGCCCTGTAATTGTCATCATTAGCACAAATGACCCAGAATTAGTGTATTAAAGGCCTGATTTCACTAATGTGCAAATGTCTGAGGTGCTTGGGAGTCATTGAACAGAGCGTCTGAAGTTGCCTCCTTGCCTCAGCTCTGTGATGCTCTCAAGGCAAAGTTTGACCCCGTCTATCAAACTCATCACAGATTCCTCACTGGGAACGTGGAAATGAAGGGCCTTCATTTAATTCAATGTTTTGAATTATATTACATTAAACGTGCGTTTACTTTTATGTGACGAGGGCGTTTAACATGACTAATTTTGTTTCACTTGCTCTGTGTGTCCAGGTGCTTCTATCTCCTGCACATTCCAAAGAAAGAACCAGCCCCTGAGACTCACAGGAGGTCACCTGTAAGCCCTAGGAATGTCCCGTCTGGTAAGCGTCTTCATTTACCCGGGGCCCATAGTCTGTGCTAACGATGTGCTTCCTGGTGGGGTCTTGGGCTGTCATATCAGTTACTGAGGAACTAAGGGGGCTGTGTGGGCACTCCATCCCCATGTGGCCACGCCTTGGTGGAAACCCTGGACACCAGGGTCAGCTTCTCTGTTGGCAATACTTCCTACACGTGGTCACACGTCATTGCAGGGAGAATGAAGGGCTTTGGGTACAACTCCACTGGGACAGGGCAATCAGAAGCTCCCTTCTGGCTTCTCCTGGACTCCCATATGCACCTTTTTCCTTTGCTGATTTCAATGTTCATCCTTCCTCTGTAATCAGCTGTAACCCTGAGCACAACAGCTTTTCTGGGTTCTGTGAGTCCTCTTGGTAAATCATCAAACCTGAGGGTAGTCTTGGGCACCCCCAAAACACACATGTATCGTTTTACCACATCATTGTGCAGGAGTGGGTCAGACCCTCCTGCCATCCTAATGCCCCTCCCTCACAGATTCCAGAGTGTACGGAGCTGGGCTTCCTTCTGAGGGCGTGTGGTGGGCTGGTGACCTTGCTGTGTGACTCTGAGTGATTCCCTGGAATATTCTGAGCCTCAGTTTCCTCATCCATGAAATGGGCACGGCCAAGTCAACCTTTCAGGGCTGTGGTTGTAAACTTTAAAAGGTATCCAGGGTTTCCCTGGTGGCGCAGTGATTGAGAGTCTGCCTGCCGATGCAGGGTACACGTGTTTGTGCCCCGGTCTGGGAAGATCCCACGTGCAGCGGAGCGGCTGGGCCCGTGGGCCCGTGAGCCCGTGGGCCATGGCCGCTGAGACTGCGCGTCCGGAGCCTGTGCTCCGCAACGCAAGAGGCCACAACAGTGAGAGGCCCGCGTACCACAAAAAAAAAATAAATAAATAAGACACACAAAAACCCAGGTAGCTATCTGGGCACAGGTCATGATCTTACCTGATAAAAGGGCGGGAGATGGCCAGCACGGTGCGGATGAACCAGGATGGGTGGACGATGATTAAGGACTTCAGGTTTTTCCGCAATCTGCGTGGGGAGACAGAGGAAGCAAGATGGGCTCCTTGGGAAAGCCCCGGGGAGGGAGCAGTTAACCGGTGTCACCTTCTCTCTGTGCCCAGGAGGTGCTATGCTTATCTTCATTGGCAGGGAGGAGGTGGAATCTCGGTAAAGCTAAGCCCCCTCGCAGAGTTTGCAGGTGTCTGGTCTCCAATCTCTCTTAATTTAGAGTCTGAGCATTTGACTTCGTGGCCACACCGTCTCGCATTTCTGAAAGATTTTCTGGGGTCCCATGGTTCTGAGCACCTATCATGGGCATGTTGAATTGCAGCCCCCTTATTTGGGAAGAGGGTCATTGTAGGAGAAATTAGTTAAGGTGAGGTCATATAGGAGTAGGGTGGGCCCCTAATCCACTATGACTGGTGTCCTTATAGAAAGGGGACATTTGCACACAGGTGTCCACAGGGGAGATTCTCCCTCACGGCCCCAGAAAGAACCAACCCTGCAGACACCTTGATCTCGGACTTCTAGCCCCCCAGAACTAGGAGACAGCACATATCTATTGTTTAAGCCACCCAGTCTGGTGCTTTGTTATGGCTGCCCCAGCTGACCACTACACACTTTTCAGAGGGACCTCAGGACCCCTTGCACCCCGAGGAGCTCCCCCAGCCCCACCCACTCACCTCCTATCAATCATCTGGTAACACTTTTTCAGCCAGCCGATGCCGGGCATCCTCCGCCGAGGCGTGGCACCATTCAGGTACACGATCATGTAATCCTCGGCCACAAGGAGCTCCAGACTGCTGATGACGTACCTGGTCACGGGACACAGACGACAGAGGACCCGACGGAGGGGCTCAGAGTCAGGAAGCCCAGTTCCCGGGACTGAACCCCTGGGGCACCTGCCCCTTCTGCCTCCGCCTGCCCTGGCTCTGCCAGCCACACCTGTTCAGGTGTTGTTGGCTGTCCTGACATACTCGGCCCAAGCGGGGGGTGGGGGATGACCCCAGCCCACCCCAAATTTGTGTCAGTGGGCACAGTGATTGTAGTAGTTACTATTTTATTGAGCACTTACTAGATGCTAAGTGATTTATATGCATGGTCTCCAATAATCCCGGGAGGTGGGCTTCAATAGCCCCAGATACACCTGGGGAACAGGCACCCACAGCCAACAGTCCACTGCACCAGACATTAGGGACCTGGGGTCTGTCCCAGCCCTGTCTCCCCCTAAGTGATTTCAGAAGAATCCTTTCTTTTTTTTTCAAACAACATTCTTTAAAAATTTTATTTATTTATTTATTTATTTATGTATGTTTGACTGCGTTGGGCCTTCGTTGCTGTGCATGCGCTTTCTCTAGTTGTGGCGAGTCAGGGCTACTCTTCGTCGCGGTGTGTGGGCTTCTCATTGCGGTGGCTTCTCTTGTTGCGGAGCACGGGCTCTAGGTGTGCGGGCTTCAGTAGTTGTGGTGCACGGGCTTAGCTGCTCCATGGCATGTGGGATCTTCCTGGACCAGGGCTCAAACCCGTGTCCCCTGAATTGGCAGGCAGATTCTTAACCCTGTGCCACCAGGGAAGTCCCTTTTTCTTTTTTCTTTAATATTTAGTTATGTATTTGGTTGCACCAGGTCTTAGTTGTGGCAGGCAGCCTCCTTAGTTGCAGCTTGCTGGCTCCTTAGTTGTGGCACGCAAACTCTTAGTTGCAGCATGCATGTGGGATGTAGTTCCCTGACCAGGGATTGAACCCAAGCCCCCTGCATTGGGAGCGTGAGTCTTACCCACTGCACCACCAGGGAAGTCCCAGAAGAATCCTTTCCTCTTTTTCAGCCTCTAATTCCCCATCTGTAGATTGGGGAGACTGGGCTCCCTGGTATCTCAGGCCACTTTCCAATCTGACCTTCCATGGCTACCTCCTTGTCCTCTGGCCTACGTGGCATCCAAGCCCCGCTGTGTAAGAAGGAAATCTTTGTAATAATGATAATAAGAGTGATAACGATTTGCTGAGTTCCTACTGTCATCTGCCAGGCGCTTTATCCATATTATCTGTCTCCATCATAATAAAACTGTACCTGTGTGTCCTTGGGCAAGTGACTTAACCTCTCTGTGCCTCAGGCTCTGCAGCCACAGAATGGGAGGCAACAGTAACTAACCCACAGGGTCCTGTCGAGGGTGGAATTCGTCATCACATACCAAGCCCTTCACTTCGTGGCTGCCACGTAGTAAATGCTCCATAACTGCGAGGGATGATGGCAGTTGCACCCGTGAGGCCCAGCGGGCGAGCAGGGGACTCAGATGCAGGTCTGCTGGCGGCCCAGCCCTTCCCTGGTGCCAGGCAGAGCCCCCCACCCAACGTGGTTCTTGCAGCAAGGTCCCGCCCACCAGGTGGGACCCTCAGATCTGTGGGCAGCTGGGACGGAGCGGGTGGGCCACTTACAGGAAGAGGTTCTCCATGACGTAGTGGTAGTCGGGGGAGCTGCTGTCTGGGAGGAAGCAGGCGGCAAAGACGATGATGGCGTTGAGACCTTCCCCGTAGTACCCTGGGGAGAGGCGGCCAGTGAGTGAGCAGCCCCAAGCAGAGATGGGTAGAGCCATCTCCCAGCTCTGAGCCGCCCCCTGCTCTGCCCCGTGCAGCAGCCTCGTCGCTGGCCAGCCCCTTTCCCACCCACTGTGCACACTCAGAGGGTACAGCTCTGAGTCACAGCAGCCTGGCTGGAGAAGCCAGCCAACGCTTGACCTGTCTCCGTCTTTGGTGGGGGACGCCAGCCACCCTCGTAGACATCTCCGATGTGCATCCGGCACGTCTACGCCTTACCCCCCTGCGAGTTTCACCCCTGCACACCCGGACACTAGGGCTTAATTTAACATCCCCCTGGGTCAGAAGAAGAGACTGAGGTCCAGAGAGGACCACTGATGGGCCTCCAGTTGCTGGAGCCGGGAGGGGGCCCAAGGGGTGTGGCCTTACCTCCGTGGGTCACCACCCTCATGTAGGGCCGGATCATGTGCAGGTCAATCCGGTGTTCCTGTTCCCCAATGATCACTGTCCGCCACAGACGCCCGTTGGCGGCACTGCCATCCTCGGCCGAGCCATCCCCAAACAGGTCCGCACTATCCCCAGGCATATTCTTGGCGGCGGCCACAGGGGTGTCATCTGGAAGCGCAGGGTTGGGGGAAGGTGAGCGGAAGGGACACCTCATCCCAGCTTCCCTCTCTGGGCTACCTTTGCCGCCTGTGGCCACGGAGCCCTCTCCTCTCTCCCCAAGCCAGAGGCGAAACCACTCATCCTATCCTTTGCTGACAGGCGGTGTTAGATTGGGGCTGCTGGGTGAGATGGAGGACCTGGGAGTTACAAAGTCATGCCTAAATAATAATTTTTCTTTCCCCAAGCCGTGGAACACAGGAAAGTGCTCAGTCAGGTGGTTGGCCTGGGTAGAGCCCATCTCTTGCTGTGTGACCTTGCACACATTCTTTCCCTCTCTGGGCTTCTCAGGATTCTTAACCACGCTTGAAATATCTGCCTCTTTCCCACCTTTCATCCTGAGATCTTCTCACCTCAGAAAATAGCCTGGCCATTTTCCCAGCTGCTCAGACCCCACACCCAGGTGTCACCTTCAACCCCCTTTTCCCCTTCGTACTCCACATCCACCCAGCAAGTGCTGTGGCTCTGCTTCTGTCCCCATGGCCACCGCCATTGCCACCTTTCTGACCTGTGCTCTTGCCTCGGCATGTCAGCTCAAATAACACCCATCCAGGGAGTACCGTCCCGGCAACCCTGCAAAGAGGCCTCCCTACCCCCAGGTAGCCTGGTTCAAGGAGTCTCGGCCTGGGCACTTTTGACCTTTGAGGGCCGGTCATTCTCTGTGGAGCCCCCTCCTCCATCCCAGGCGCTGTGAGGGTGTGGAGCCACCTCCCTGACCCCACCTATTTGATGCCGGGATTCCCTCAGTCATGACAACCACAGGTGTCCCCAAACATGGCCCAGTGTCCCCTGGGGGCCGGGGGCTGAATTGCCCCAGTGAGAACCCCCTGCCCTCTCCTATCACCTCGTTTCCCTCACAGCACCGACGACCAGGTGCAATTATCTTGTGTACATTTTTTCTGTTACCCAGAGCCTGGCTTTCCGATGGCCACGTGAGCAGGCAAGCGATGTCTATTCCTGACATGCCCCCGCCCGATCTCCCTGCTGCCCCCTACACAGCAATCAAGACCTCCTCCACAAACACCTGTGGAATCATGGGGAGGCCCTTCCTCTGGCCTCGGTCCCCTTTGAGAATCGGGTGAAAGACACATCTCCCAGCAAAGTCCACAAGTCCACGAGAAAATGTGCGTGGAGTCCCAGGAGCTGTCCTGGGAGCCCCGGGTTGGAAGGCCTGTCCCCCTTGAGCCTACGGGGATGGAGGAGGGGGGCTCTGGTCAGCTGGTCCCCAAGCCAAAGGGAGCGCTGGGGTCTGATTTGGGGGCTGGGCAGGTGCGACGAGCGACCTCACCTTCCCACTCCAATTCATTGCCGTTCCCCAGGAATTCCAGCGAGTCGGTCTCATCTGGGGTCTCGATGTCATCCACGTTGATATCCAGGTCATCAGGGGTGTCCAGGAAGTCATCGGACAGCAGGGAGCCCTCACTCTGGTCCAGGGAAATGTTGATCTCGGGGGCCACCAGCGTCTTCCGCTTACGATGAGCCGCGTTGAAGTTTAGAGTGTTGGGAGGGGCTGTGGGGGAACAGGAAAACAGAAAAAAACAAAAGCAAAACAAGATCAGTCACTTTTGCTGTTTTCTTTCTTCTTCCCCATCTCCTGTTCCCAACCCAGTGGAGATCCACTCTGCCCTGTTGAGGGGAGTGGTTAGAAGTCAGAGGACATGTCACGGCAGCGGTTAATATAACCATCTAGCGTGGAGGTCAAGGGCAGACGCTTGGACGTAGGGCAGACCTGGGTTCAGAGCCTGACCTCGCTACTCACCAGCTCCGTGACCCTGCAGTGCCATGTTGCTCTGAGCTTGACTCACTTTTACCATCTGCAAAATGGGACTCCCAGGTGAGTTGAGTCAAGGTTGAACAATGATGTGGGGATTAGACCCTGGGCAGCCTGGGCTCCAGCTGGTGTGCTCTGGACCTACCAATATCTGCGAGTCTTGTTTCTTCCAGCTAAGGCTGGCAGAGAATGTCCACATTCTGCTTTTGGCCTCTCTGTGATGCTCAACTCTAACAACTAACTTTTAGTGATCATGTAATGTAAGCCAGACACTCTGCAAAGCTCTCCCCTGCGTTTTCACGTTCCAACTTTGCTATTGCCCCTTTTAACAGATGAGCAAACTGAGGCACAGAAGGGCAGGATCCTCCCGTGTCACTCTGAAGCCTGTCGGGATGGATATTCCCCATGGTTTACACTGCTTCCTCCTAAAGACTCTTAGCCTGGACTCTGGTCTCCTTGTAAAAGGTGGTTTCTCCTCCTGGGCTGCCCCCCATCTGACAGCCCGTGGAGCAGAGCCAGCCCCTCAGGTTTACCCTGTTTCATTACACGGCCTTTGAGGACAAAATAAGTAAACTAGTAGGAGACTCCTACCCCTTTTATTGGATGAAGACACTCATTGATCCATAATTTCTTTTAATTAATTAATTAATTAATATTTTTGGCTGCGTTGGGTCTTTGTTGCTGCGCATGGGCTTTCTCTAGTTGTGGCGAGCGGGGGCTACTCTTTGTTGCAGTGCGCAGGCTTCTCATTGCGGTGGCTTCTCTGGTTGCGGAGCATGGGCTCTAGGCGCGCGGCCTTCGGTAGTTGTGGCATGTGGGCTCAGTAGTTGTGGCTTGCGGGCTCTAGAGTGCAGGCTCAGTAGTTGTGGCACATGGGCTTAGTTGCCCCATGGCATGTGGAATCTTCCCGGACCAGGGTTCGAACCCGTGTCCCCTGCACTGGCAGGTGGATTCTTAACCACTGCGCCACCAGAGAAGCCCCCATTGATCCATAATTAAATGGACCACATTTTTTTTTTCAGTTTGAATCTCACTTTTTTTCACTTTGAATCTCTCGGTCCCTAAGCAGGTCAGAGGTAACTGCTTCAGGAGACACTGGGATAGAAACATTCGCTTTGGCAGAAAATGATAAAAACACAGCAGTCACATTTATCAAGTGCCTGCTATGTGCGGAGCACTGGCATGATTTCTAGCTCTCACCGTGACCTTGTGTGGTGGGAAATGTTACCCACTTTACAGATTCGGACATAGAGGCAGAGACTTGCCCAAGGATCCGACCCCAGGCTTCTCAACTTACTCTGCCTTTTTCATGGGAAGTGTGTTAGAAGCAGTGAATCAGGAGTGCTTGATTTAAAATACTGCTACTCTTCCTGATGGGGTCAAGTTGTGGGTCACAGCATGGTGGCAGTAAGACTAAAGGTACAAGGAAGCACCGCGGCAGTATGCCACCACATGGACCTGGAGGATAGGGCATTGAGCCAAAGAAGACGGTTCTCCAGGCTTAAAACCTATTGGAACAAGTTTCAGACTTGCTGGGACCCGTGACCCCTTTCTTCCTTCCAATTTCTCCCATTTGGAATGAGAATATCTATTCTATGTCCATCCCGCCATCATGTTTTGGAAGCAGAGACATTGCCTGACTTCATAGGTCCACAGCTGGAGAGGAATTTTGCCCCAGGATGAATCACACCTGAGTTTTTTTTTCTCCTGCCTCCTGAGCCCTTCGACTGATTAGACACGGCCCACCCACACAACGGAAGGCAATCTGCCTTACTCAAAGTCCATGAATTTAAATGTAAATCACATCTAAAAAAACACCCTCAACAGAAACATCTAGAATTATGTTTGACCACATAGCTGGGTACCATGGGCCAGGCAAGTGAATACATAAAATTAGTGATCACATCTCCCCATCTCAAGTTCCTTAACTTAATCCTATCTGCAAAATCCCTTTTGCCATGTGAGGGAACATTCAGGGGTTCCTGGAATTAGAATCTGGATATCTTTGGGGGTCATCATTCAGCCAGTCACACCTAGGAAGTGGGGTACTGTTACTACACACTCCTCGTTTTACAGAAGTAGGAAATGGAGGCCCAGAGGGGTGAAAGGATTTGCCCAAGGTTACCCTGTGGGGATGTGACAACAGCGGGCAGAGCCCATGTGCCCAGGCAGGAAGAAGGGCTGGTATGTGGCATGTGGGCTCAGTAGTTGTGGCTTGCGGGCTCTAGAGTGCAGGCTCAGTAGTTGTGGCACATGGGCTTAGTTGCCCCATGGCATGTGGAATCTTCCCGGACCAGGGTTCGAACCCGTGTCCCCTGCACTGGCAGGTGGATTCTTAACCACTGCGCCACCAGAGAAGCCCCCATTGATCCATAATTAAATGGACCACATTTTTTTTTTCAGTTTGAATCTCACTTTTTTTCACTTTGAATCTCTCGGTCCCTAAGCAGGTCAGAGGTAACTGCTTCAGGAGACACTGGGATAGAAACATTCGCTTTGGCAGAAAATGATAAAAACACAGCAGTCACATTTATCAAGTGCCTGCTATGTGCGGAGCACTGGCATGATTTCTAGCTCTCACCGTGACCTTGTGTGGTGGGAAATGTTACCCACTTTACAGATTCGGACATAGAGGCAGAGACTTGCCCAAGGATCCGACCCCAGGCTTCTCAACTTACTCTGCCTTTTTCATGGGAAGTGTGTTAGAAGCAGTGAATCAGGAGTGCTTGATTTAAAATACTGCTACTCTTCCTGATGGGGTCAAGTTGTGGGTCACAGCATGGTGGCAGTAAGACTAAAGGTACAAGGAAGCACCGCGGCAGTATGCCACCACATGGACCTGGAGGATAGGGCATTGAGCCAAAGAAGACGGTTCTCCAGGCTTAAAACCTATTGGAACAAGTTTCAGACTTGCTGGGACCCGTGACCCCTTTCTTCCTTCCAATTTCTCCCATTTGGAATGAGAATATCTATTCTATGTCCATCCCGCCATCATGTTTTGGAAGCAGAGACATTGCCTGACTTCATAGGTCCACAGCTGGAGAGGAATTTTGCCCCAGGATGAATCACACCTGAGTTTTTTTTTCTCCTGCCTCCTGAGCCCTTCGACTGATTAGACACGGCCCACCCACACAACGGAAGGCAATCTGCCTTACTCAAAGTCCATGAATTTAAATGTAAATCACATCTAAAAAAACACCCTCAACAGAAACATCTAGAATTATGTTTGACCACATAGCTGGGTACCATGGGCCAGGCAAGTGAATACATAAAATTAGTGATCACATCTCCCCATCTCAAGTTCCTTAACTTAATCCTATCTGCAAAATCCCTTTTGCCATGTGAGGGAACATTCAGGGGTTCCTGGAATTAGAATCTGGATATCTTTGGGGGTCATCATTCAGCCAGTCACACCTAGGAAGTGGGGTACTGTTACTACACACTCCTCGTTTTACAGAAGTAGGAAATGGAGGCCCAGAGGGGTGAAAGGATTTGCCCAAGGTTACCCTGTGGGGATGTGACAACAGCGGGCAGAGCCCATGTGCCCAGGCAGGAAGAAGGGCTGGTATTCCAGGGTGACCAACTATCCAGATCGGCCCCAGAAACCTGGAACAAATTGGTACCCCTACCTGGCTCATGGGCATAGTGTGGTACAGGGGTAGGCAGAGATGGCTGTCACTGCTGTGTGACCGCAGGGATGTGGCTGTCCCTCTCTGGGCAGTCTTTCCCCTGTAGGGTGGGCTCTGTGATGGGCTGCATGGGGGAAATGCAGGGGACCCTCAGCAGAACTCTGCCAGGAGATGTCATCAAGGAGAACACATGTTTGAGGCAGCTTCTCTGGCTGCCCCAGACCCCCTGTCCTCAAAGTCTGGGGCTTTGGATCCTCAGAGCCATAAGCCCTCTTGAGTGCTCAGGGCAGCAAAGCCCTCCCAGGGCTGACTTTGTGCCTGGCATCCCCTGGGCACTTTACACAAATCATCTTGTTTAATCTTTGCATGCCCCTTCTGTGGGAGGCTCACTACCTGTATTTAGTAGATGAGGAATTGGAGTCACAGAGAAGCTAAGCAACTAGTTCAAGGACACACAGCAACTGACTTCGTGACGGCTCCCACACACGTCTCTGGCCCACAACCACACTGCTTTCCCTGCAGGACTTGGAGCAGAGCAACCCCCTTCCCTGACATTCCACCCAGGAGGCATGACCTCTGACATTTCTACAGTTATAGTGCTGGGCACAGCCCAGACCATGTGCCCATTTCTGCATGCATGGAAACTTACAGGATGTGTCTTCTGTGGCACTGCCAAGCAAGTCCATCCCCGTCTCTTCCGAGAGTGGCCTGCAGACCCAGCCGGGAGCGGACATCAGCCACCAGGCCCCACAATTCCAGGCACAGGAGCATGGAGTTCAGACAAAATGACACCAACAAAATCTGTTTAGCTTTGAGAAACCGTTGGGACAAAATACATCTGCTCGCGAGCACAGAAAATCATAAACAATCAGCGCTGGAGGGCTCCCACTGGATCATCTAATAAATATTAAGCCTTTTTTGGGGGGGGGTGGGGACAGGGAAAGCTGAGGCCCAGTGAGAAAAAGGGTCTCATCTATATTTTATTTGGAATATAAGCAGCATTCTTCATGGGTTGACCCCGCAGGGTTTGGTCTCTGATGAACTGTTGCTATTAACGCAGCCAGAAGTTGTCCAATGGACATAGCAGACAACTGAAAGAGCTCTCTGTGGCCAATGCTGGACTGGTCTGACCAACAAAATATATCATGAAATATTGGATTGTGAGCCAGTGTTTAAAATAAAATGTCCATGAGTCCGTCCATACAGATATAAATAAATGATTGAATAAGTAAATACAGGGAGAAGAGACAAATTTTTCCTGCAGAGAAAAATTTCATATAATGTCTGTAGATATTCTGCCCTCAAGGAGATGGAAAGTAACACCCTTCTCTGTAAGTGTGGGCTGGGCACAGTGGCTTCCTTCCAAAGAGGACAGTATGGGAAGGGGGGAGGCGTGACTTTACAGTGGAGACACCCAACCAGCATGAACTCAGCCAGGGGACCGAGGTCAACACCAGCAGTGATGAGTCATGTTGATGGCAGGCACCCCGAGATGAAGAATGAGATGGCCCTTCACAGGTGGTCCTCCTCCCAGCACCCAGCGCCCCAGTGTAACCGTGAGAAAGACAGCAGACAAGTTCCTACTGAGGGAGATTCTACAAAATCTCTGGCCACAGTCCTCCTCAAACCCGTCAAGGGCATCGAGAACAAGCAAAGTCTGAGAAACTGTCACAGCTCAGAGGATCCTGAGGAGACATGATGCCTGAATGTTACGTGGGAACTTGGGTGGGATCCTAGGAAAGAAAAAGGGTATCAGGAGAAAAGGACTATGGAAATCTGAATAAATTCTGGACTTCAGTTAACAACAGTGTAACAATATCAGTCTATTAATTGTAACAAATGTATCAGCCTAATGTAAAATGTTAATTTAGGAGAAGCTGAGTGTGTGGGGAGGTGTATGGAAATTTTCCGTAATATTCTTGCAACTTTTGTGTAAACCTAAATCTTCTAAAAAGTAAATTTTTTTTAAAAAAAGAAAGGCAGCCAGCTATACATTTGTGCCCCTTTAATGCTTAGTGGAGCACGAATTTGCAAAATAAGACCTGTTTCTCTGGCCATGCCCAGACTGGTTTTTTTTTTTTGGACCACAGCTCATGCCGCCTGACTTTGACCCACGTGCTCTGGCTCCTTTGTTCCCTAGGGAAATAGTTCCAGGCAGAAGGTTTTTCAGAGTGCACGGGGCTGTCAGAGGCTCTAGCTGCAGGGTGTGCTGGCTCAGGGAAGCACTGCCGCGTTAATTCATCTCTGCAACTCAGCAGTGCCAGCTCAGCTGGAATGGGAGCTGGTTAGATGGGGAAGGACAGTAGAATGCTTTTTCTTTTCCTTTAACAAAACCATTCATTCCATCACCTCTGTTCCTTGTAGGGCATGAGCTGGCACCCTCTGTAGGGTGGGATCTATCCATGCTTCTTCCTCCGCACCCGCCACCCCCGCCCACCTTTCTCCCGTTCACCATGCTTCCAATGTTCTTTGAGTAACCACTACCTTCCAGGTGCATTGGAGGTCTTGGAGGGTCTTGGAGGTAAAGAATGAATCAGATGTTGCCCTGCTCTCATAGAGGTCAAAAGTCAAAATAGAGCAGAGGTCCAAAGGAAATGAAGGGCTTCCCTGGCGGTGCAGTGGTTAAGAATCCTCCTGCCAATGCAGGGGACACGGGTTCGAGCCCTGGTTTGGGAAGATCCCCCATGCCGCAGAACAACTAAGCCCGTGTGCCACAACTACTGAAGCCCGGTCGCCTAGATCCTGTGCTCTGCAACAAGAGAAGCCACCACAATGAGAAGCCCACGCACCACAACAAAGAGTAGCCCCTGCTCGCTGCAACTGGAAAAAGCCTGCACGCAGCAACAAAGACCCAAGACAGACATAAATAAATAAATTTATTTTTAAAAAATGACAAAGGAAATGAAGACACATATCCATGCAAAAGCTCATACCTGAATGCTCACAGCAGCATGATCACATTGGAAACAACCCAACTGTCTACCAAGTGATGAACGGATAAACAAAACATGGTCCATCGTACAATGGAATATTATTCAGCCACGAAAAGGAGTGAAGTGCTGACACCTGCTACAATGTGGATGGACCTTGAGAACATGATGCTCAGTGAGAGAAGCCAGACACAAAAGGCCACATAATGTGTGATTCCATTTATATGAAACGTCCAAAACAGGCAAATCCACAGAGACAGTTGGTGCATTTGTGGTTGCCACGGGGATGGGGTTTCATTTCGGGGTGATGGAACATTTTACAACTAGACAGAGGTGATGGCTGTACAACATGTGAGTTGTTCATTTAAAATGGTTATTTTGGGACTTCCCTGGTGGTCCAGTGGCTAAGACTCCATGTTCCCAATGCAGAGGGCCAGGGTTCCATCCTTGGTCAGGGAACTAGATCCCACATGCCTCAACTAAAGACCCCACATGTCACAACCAAGACCTGGTGCAGCCAAATAAATAAATAAATAAATAAATATTTTAAAAAATTAGGGCCCAGGGCTTCCCTGGTGGCGCAGTGGTTGAGAGTCCGCCTGCCGATGCAGGGGACATGGGTTCGTGCCCCAGTCCGGGAAGATCCCACATGCCACAGAGCGGCTGGGCCCATGAGCCATGGCCGCTGAGCCTGCGTGTCCGGAGCCTGTGCTCTGCAACAGGAGAGGCCACAACAGTGAGAGGCCCGCGTACCGCAAAAAAAAAAAAAAAAAAAAATTAGGGCCCACCCTAAAATGGTTATTTTGGGGACTTCCCTGGCGGTCGAGTGGTTAAGATTCCGTGCTTCCAATGCAGGGGGCGCAGGTTCAATCCCTGGTTGGGGAACTAAGATCTCACATGCCCACCGCACGGCCAAAAATAAAATAAAATAAAATGAAATAAAATGGTTCTTTTTATGTTATGTAAATTTCACCTCCATTTAAAAAAGAAAAAAAGCAAGCTTCAGATTAAGTCAGAAGGTTTTAAAGAGGGATCTTTTTTTCAGTTTGAGACTGAAGACCACTCACACGCCCATTTCGTGTACACGTTGCTCTGGTCCCTCTGGTCTGTAGCTGACACCCCTGCTCTCAACACGGGGAGGGCAGCTGGTAACCCACAAATAAGTCCGGGATCCGGGAGTACAGGAGGCATACCACCTACTTGCAAGGTTACCCAAAATCATGCTCTGAAATTGCAGGCTGACAGCTGATGCACCACCCCTAGTTTTATCCTGCCCACACAGCATTTCACAACATTTTAAATTTGCTGTCAAATCAGAGATATGACACAAAAAGTCTAGATATCAGTCTTTTCTTGAATCAGATCTGCACTTCGTGCATGGTAACCGCCACCAGCAGCTGACTGTCCACCACCCCTGCTCACCTGGGTGCCGGGATTTCCTTCCGGCTCCTTCCCCTCATTTACTCTGCCTTCCCTGTTTCCATCAGTCTGAGGCTGTAATCCCTGTTGTTCTAGAATCAATTAGAACCGTACTTTACCCCACGGACAGGGCACTCACTCTGTTGGAATGTTGACGGCATCATCGTCTTGTTTCCTCCTCACAGTATCCCTATGAGGCAGGTAGCAGCCCATTTCACAGAGGAGGAAACGGAGGCTAAACCAGAAGATGCCCAAGGGCAGAGCGAACCACTTACAAAGGCAGAGCTGAATCCGGTCATTGCCCTCTACTGCCCCCTTGTGTCCAGTCGGCTCATGTGAACAAACCCCACAGGTCCACAGGGCTGCAGCTTTCAAGGTCAGGTAAGACCTGGTTATTTCCACAAGCCCCAGGAAGACCTCAGCTAATGAAGAGCTGAAGTCCCTTCACGAACTCAAAGTGGATCCAGAGGGCTCCCTGCAGCACTTGCTTTCAGTCTGTGCTGGGAAACCCATGTAAAAAGTGGAGTTCCCCCTAATCCACCAGGTGTACAGTGTGGCTTTATTCTTCTGGTGTGGGTTGACTTGCATCCCCCCAAAAACATAATTCAGGTGTTAACTCCCAGAACCTGGGAATGTGACCTGTTTGGAAATAAGGTTGTTGTAGACAGCATTAAGTTGAGATGACATCATACTGGAGCAAGGTGGGCCCTACAGCCAATCAGTGGTATGATTGTAAGAAGAGGCAAGTTTGGACACAGAGACACAGAGGAGAAGGCTGTGTGAAGATGGAGGCAGATTCAGATCAAAACTACAATGAGGGGCTTCCCTGGGGCTCAGTGGTTAAGAATCCACCTGCCAATGCAGGGTACACGGGTTCGAGCCCTGGCCCGGGAAGATCCCACATGCCGCAAAGCAACTAAGCCCGTGCACCACAACTACTGAGCCTGCGCTCTAGAGCCCGCATGCCACAACTACTGAAGCCCACGTGCCACAACTACTGAAGCCCAGGCGCCTGGAGCCCGTGTTCTGCAACAAGAGAAGCCACCGCAATAAGAAGCCCGCGCACCGCAACAAAGAGTAGCCCCCACTCGCTGCAACTAGAGAAAGCCCGCACACAGCAATGAAGACCCAACTCAGCCAAAAATAAAAAACAAACAAATAAATAAATTTATTTTAAAAAAAACTACAATGAGGTATCACCTCATATCGGGCAGAATGGCCATCATCAAAAAATCTACAAACAATAGATGCTGGAGAGAGTGTGGAGAAAAGGGAACCCTCCTACACTGTTGGTGGGAATGTAAATTTGTACAGCCACTATGGAGAACAGTATGGAGGTTCCTCAAAAAACTAAAAATA